ATACAATACATTATTTAACAGTAAATTGAAAGACATGAAGCACCTTCAATCACGGTAGTTTCAGCAAATTCAATCCACATAGGAATTCCTTATAGCATTAGATCTTAAAGGACCACTATAGGCACGAAGACCACTTCAGCATAATGGGTGCCTGATCCAGCAAGGGTTAACCTATTTTTTTTTATAAACATTGCAGTTTCAGAGAAACTGCTATGTTTATATTAGGGTTAATCCAGCCTCTAGAGCCTCTAGTGGCTGTCTCATTGACAGCCACTAGAGGCGATTGCGTGTTTCTCACTGTGAAAATCACAGTGAGAAGATGCCAGCGTCCATAGGAAAGCATTGTAAATGCTTTCCTATGAACTGGATGAAGGTGCGTCTGGCTCCTGCTGTGCATGCGCATTCAGCCGATGACGTCGCTATGAAGGAGGAAAGGAGGAGGAGAGCTCCCCGCCCGGCGCTGGAGAAAGGTAAGATTTTAACCCCTTCCTCTCACCAGAGCCCGGCGGGAGGGGGATCCCGCAAATATCTGCATATAATCCTCAAGGGCCGCTTTCTTGTGCTTTAGGCAGAAGCGTCAATTTCAAGCAAAAGAAATTTTTTTCCCTGCCAAATGTTGACATTTTGTTTATTGAATGTTGATGTGTTCTTTAGAAAAGTCCTGATCTGTGCACATAAAAGATAACGGGAAGTAAATTCTCTCATCCAGGAGGTAGTACGAGGTTTATTTCGATAATCTGACTAGGAGCAATCTTCAATCAGGTGAGGATAGAATAGTAAACCGGAGACATCTACTTATATGGGTGAGATTAAAAGGTGGCTAAGGAAGAAAAGCTAAGAACAATTCCTGTTCTGTGCACATAAAAGATAACGGGTAGTAACAGAGAAAAAACATCCAAACTAAGTGTAGTATTTTAAAATACCAATATATATCAGTGTAGATAAAATCCAGAAAAGTGCTCACCTTATTTAGAGCCTTTTTATAACTGGCTCTAAGTATATAGGTTCAGTGTCAGTTTGTAGGGTGACACTATCCCTTTATTGAATCACTTGTGCAGGATGCAGGAAGTGTAGTATATAACAAATATGTTTATTATCAATATTAAAATGTATACAAACTATTATAAAAACAAAAAATATATAAAAACATATATAAATAATACTAATGTATTAAGTGGTCTGGCGTAGATCCATTTGCAGCCAAAACGCGTTTCACCGAAAATCAGCTTCCTCAGTCAGCTTCAGGACATCTTCTGTCTTTTGCCGGTCCGTAATGATTTGTTGTGACGCACCCGAAATAGCGTTGCGTCACTTCCGGTTTGTTCTTACTACATGTCCCATAGTTCTTTGCGTTCGTAGATGTCACTTCCGGTTATAAACCGCAGTAGTGATGGGTAATGTAGTCCTTAATATCGTCACTTTCTAGTTCATGTTCCAATTCGTATCGGCTCAAAATAAAGAGCCGAAATGGTGGAAAAAAACGTTGTGGTTTTCAAACAACAACAACAGAAATTGCAGGTACTTGTGTCCCTTCGACAGACAATTTACCCCCACCTTGAATAAAAGCAGAAAAAAAATTAAACCAACTGTACGTGTTCCAGTTAAATCACCCACAACATTTCTTAAAATGTCTACCTCCACCGTGAAAAAAAGCTGAAAAAAAATTAAACCAACTGTACGTGTTCCAGTTAAATCACCCACAACATTTCTTAAAACGTCTACTTAATTGGATAAAACAACAACTCACTTTGATAATTCCATAAATGTATTTTCTACTTACTCCAAAGGAATCATCTAGTGAATCAGTAGAAGACCTCTTGTCCTTTGTGGTTTTCAAACAACAACAACAGAAATTGCAGGTACTTGTGACCCTCGACAGACAATTTAACCCCACCGTGAAAAAAAAGTGGAAAAAAACTTTGTGGTTTTCAAACAACAACAACAGAAATTGCAGGTACTTGTGACCCTTCGACAGACAATTTAACCCCACAGTGAAAAAAAAGTGGGAAAAAACTGAAACCAACTGGACGTGTTCCAGTTAAAGCACCCAAAACATTTCTTAAAACGTCTACTGAATTACAGGAAACAACAACTCACTTTGATAATTCCATAAATGTATTTGTACATACTGCAAATGAATCATTCCTCTGCTGTAGGTAAAATCTCCTCTACTCAAGTCTCAGTAGAAGACCTCTGGTCCTTTGTGGTTTTCAAACAAAAGAAATTGCAGATAGTTGTGACCCTTCGATAGAGA